AAAGATACCCAATTGGAAAAACAGATTCTTGTCACTTGCAGGTAAGGAGGTACTCATGAAAGCAGTGTTTGGGGCCTTGCCAACATATACCATGTCATGCTTTCTCTTACCCTTGGCAATTACTAAGAAGATTTCAGTAGATTTTTGCTAATTTTTGGTGGCAATAAGAAAGAAGGCAGCAAAGGAATTTATTGGAAGAAGTGGAGCCACATTTCACTGCCATTGGAGATGGGGGGTTTAGGGTTCCAAGATCTCCACACTTTCAATAAAGCTTTAATATCTAAACAATTATGGAGAATCCTAAACCAACCACACCTTCTGGTTAGTAAAATCATTAAAGGAAGATATTTTCATGATGGCTCCCTTATATCAGCAAAGCAAAAGAAAAATTGTTCTTGGTTATGGGCAAGTTGGTGGAAACAGATTGCAAGCTTCAAGAAAGGGCTACTATATCTGATCAGAGATGGCAAAACAGTGAATATTTGGGAGATGCCTTGGGTGCCAAACCTGCCAAACCACACTCCAGTGGGGAAACAACCAAGAGCTAGCCACATCTGTCACATGGGTTTGGCAGCTCATGGACCCAACAGGATGGAGGTGGAATAGGAATTTGGTTGAAGACTGTTTCACACAGGAAGAAGCAGATGCTATCCTTGCCATAAATGGACTTGACCCTCATAGCAGTGATGTGGTAACATGGAACTGGAACAGTACAGGCAAACACACAGTCGCTTCCACTTATGCCAAACTGATTGAAGAGAAATGGAGGACATTGGATATTGCAGGTTCAAGCTTACACCAAGGGGAGCTAACCAAAATCAGAAAAAGGACCTGGGGACTGAAAACTCAAGAGAAAATCAAACACTTTATTTGGAAAGGCATTAATAACATCTTACCAGTGTTGAAGAACTTGCAAACCAAAGGCCTTGAAGTGGATCAGGTGTGCAAAATTGTGGGGATGGAGATGAAACCCAAGAGCATCTATTTTTTCATTGCACAAGAGCAAAGCTTATCTGGAAATTATCCCCTGTATCATGGGACGGGCTCCAAGCAGAAACAGGTTGCTTCAGATTGTGGTGGCACACCTTATGTTCCCTGCCACTTAAACCCACCTAAGATGACCGCATTCAACTAGCGATTTACTGTGGTGGATGTGGAAGACACGGGATCTTTGGGTCTTTCAACAAACCCTAAGATCAAAGAGGGCCTCTGTCAAATTAGCTTTGGAGAGTTGGTAGGCTTTTGCAGCCATCTCCTAATCTTCCTTTTCAATCACTTTGTTAGTTCTACCCTTATTTTTATAGCTGGTTTGTTTGGTTTGTTTGTGTTAGTTTTATGTAGTTTGGGTTGTAGGTTTTGTTAACTTGTTAGGTCCCGGGCGGGTACAGTGACACGTTAATTTTGAAGGTGTTTCTGTGTCGTTGCAAGAGGGATAGGTACACTCGAGGTCTTAGCGTTAGTCTATGCCGAGATGGTACTATTTCTCTTATAGAAGAGGCTTGCTCTACCCTATTTGTACTTGTGTATATTTTAGTTGGCTTGATTGCCGCGAACACTGTATATTATCTTTTGAGATATAAATCCTATCGTTTCGAAAAAAAAAATAACCAATGGAAAATATTGACGATCATTTAGGGGATATGAAAAAGAAAAACTTGGAAAGACACTCAAAATTGAGTAGAATACAATTTCAAAGGCACATTTTTCTTTAACTTAAATTCGACCATTTTACACAATAATCGACCATTTTTCTTTAACTTAAAAATCAAAACACTGAATCAGTCTGGATTCGAAATCCACAACAGCTAGGCCTGGGACCGGTCCGGTTCTTAACAAATTTTTCAAGAACCGGAATCGGAATCGGAATCGAAATAAAAAAAACCGGTTCGGTTAACACCTAAATATCCCCAGGAACCGAAAAAGAACTGAACCGAATTATAACGGTTCGATTTTTCCAGTTCTCCGGGTAACCGAATAATGAAAAATAACCGACAATAACCGGTTTTAACTTAATAACCGGTAAAAAAATTACAACTCATGAACTAAAAATATCATAAAAAACCGAGAACCGAAATGCTAAAATGAGGAACCGAGTATTGCATACCAAGAACCGGAACCGATTTATATATATACACACATAAAACATGCATATTTCATATATATATTCGGTTCCTCGTTTAATACTTTTGGGACCTCATGCAAATTCAACTAACAGTGTTTCTTTTTGAACCGCGTACATAATAAAATGTTAAATTTAAGAATTTTATGATCCGTTAAGGTTTAAAGGGACAGATGATATATATGTTCACACTTTAGAAAATATATAGCAGACTTTTATTTAAGTCCATTAGGTAGTCTCCGTGGCCGTAGGTTTAATTGGGGAGTCCCATTCCCTAGTTCCCATTACTTTACTTGGATATTAAAAATAATAATAATATTTCATGGTTATTACTTATTATTATTAAATATTAATACTATATGAATAGTTGATTACTTTTTGGCATTTATCAATTTAACAAAGTATATTAAATACCCTTTTTTTTATCGGTATATTAAATACTCTTTCTTAATTTGTGTGAAAGTGTAGAAATGATAACTTTATGAGAAATGCTACAAGTACATAATACTGTACATAAAGTTTATACATAACACTCACATAAGTGAGTCCTACTAAAAATAAAAAATCAAGTGGATCACATTCTATGTGAATATTATGTATACCTGTATGTCCATTTATTATGTACTTTTAGCATTTTTCTAATTTTATGTTGATGCGATATATAATTTAAACAAAAAAATAAAAAATTATAGCAAACGCATGAACTAATTTTGCCTTGCCCAATATTCGTCCATCCTTAAACTTCATCTGTTCACTGAAAACAAATTATTGTATTCCAACTAAAAAGTAAAAAGTCAATGGTAATATATTCTTACAAAATCCAACTAGTGCGGGTACCTGTGCGATGCACGGGCTAATTTTATTAAAGTAAGCATTTAGATTTAAATTATTGAATGATTGAAAAAACGTAAAATGCATATATTGAAATAAAATAAATTGTAACTTGTATATTATTAAACACATCTTTGTACACATTGATGTAGAATAATAATAATAATAATAATAATAATAATAATAATAATAATAATTATTATTATTATTATTATTATTATTATTATTATTATTATTATTAGTTAGCTTGGAGAATAAGGTAGGGTTTAGTTTAAAAGTCTTATTTAAAGGGCTATTGTGCTTTGTTATTAATGGAGTTGATTATTGAATGAAAACATGAATCGATTGTGAGTTTTATCGAGAGAGTATCTCGTTTATCCTTCCAATTCGTACGTTTCCATACATCAGTTGGTATTAGCAGTCAGTACGATTCGCAATGTCGCCGGGACGACAAGATGCCGCAAACAAACGACGTGATGCAACCTTCAACGATCGGTTTCAATATATTGACTATCGATTTCAACAGTTGGACGTGCGTTTTACGGATTGGTTTGTAGATCTTTCGACGGGGATCGAGGATTTGCGTTTGACGCTTAACAACGTGGTCTGGGATTTGCAAATGAACGGTGCTGCCGGCGACCGGGGTGTGCGTGGGGAAGTTCACGGAGGAAGTGGAGGTCATGGTCCAGGCGGGACGCCCCGTCGACGATCTCCACAACCGCCGCCAGGCGCAGACGGTGAAGAGATCATCTCGGAGGTGGATCCCTTCGGAGAGTGGCCGCCTCCACCCGTCGAGACTATGCTCATTGCTGCGCACGACAACCAAGATGTGCGGCAACAGAGTGCGATTTTTTAGGAAGATGACGGGCTATTGTACGATGGTCCGCCTATTTTCGATGAGGAGCCTCCGGTGACGGAGACATATTGTTGCGGCAATATGGGTCCCGCGTGGGACGTCGCAGAAGTTGAGCCTTTGACGGGGATGCCGTCGTTCAAACCCGATGTTTGGAGTATCTTGGCGAGTGATGGTTTTTCGGAGCTGAAGCTGAGGCTCAATAACTGGTGGGCCATTTTCCGATTGTCTATCGCGAAGTCTCCCAACAACGGGATGTTTGGTCGTAGTTATGGTTTTGAGCGCGGCGAATGATATGGTATCTTTTGTGTTAATTCAGTTGTGTGGGTTATGCGTATAGAGGCGTGTACATGTGCTTTTTCAGTAGATCAGTGCCCAATATTATGTTTATCTTCGGGATTGTTGGGCGACCTTCAACCTTCGTGTTCGATCGGGGGAAACGCCAGGGCTATTCCTGTCATGGAAACGTCTCAAACGGGAACGTGTCGGATTCGAGGGCGAATCCTGCTCAATCGGGAGAAAATGATGCAGAATAATTATGATCATTATTATTATTATTTAGTTTGGAGAATAAGCTAGGGTTTAGTTTAAGAGTCTTATTTAAAAGGTTCTTGTGCTTTGTTTTCAGGGGAGTTGATTATTAAATGAAAACATGAATTGATTGTGAGTTTTATCGAGAGAGTATCTCGTTTATCCTTCCCATTCGTACGCTTCCCTACATCAACAATATTATTTGTTTGGTCTTTTGGTACTCGTCTATGGCCACAAATTATATTAGGATTCTAGATAGGCTTAAATGAATCAATTAAATTACTTAGCATGATATATATGATATGATTTATACTGCATTTATGAAGATTGCATAGCCAAATATAACGGAGATTGTAAAACGTCTTTCTTGATAATCTATAACCTTATTATTTTAAAATTATAAATTATTTAATTAAGGAAAAGAAAAATTGTGTAAGTGTATGCAATTAACTTCAAATTTGTATTATAGAGGATTAAATAAAACCCAAACTTTTAGGATGTTCCAATCCGACTTCATTTTGAATTTCAAATTAATATTATCTAACTGTTTTATGTTTAAAAAAAATCTGAAGAAAGTACTAGCCAAATGATAATGGATTTTTAAATTTTAATTTTCAATTTGAAATTGGGTCTGATTTCTATGCAACCCAATTTTTTTAATAAACATGATCTGTTGCAATTAGGTAAAGATACATGCTATAGTATTTTACCTAATTCGAAATTCCCGATTTCATGGTAAACAGGATTTTTTTTAATAAAAAATGAGAGAATTTTGACTTTTACAAAATTGTCATGCCGAATTTTACCTAAATTAACCCGATTTCTATACAATCCGATTCTTTTTAATAAACAATTGACTTGTTACAATTGGGAAAAGATATAAGTGATAGTATTTTGCCTAATTCGAAATTCTCGATTTTATGGTAATCAGTTTTTTTAATAAAAAATGAGAAAGAATTTTGACTTTTGCAAAATTGTTAGCATCAGTCGGAATTTACCTAAATTAAATCCACAAAACCCATGAATTTAGGGTGCACATATAGCTAATCGATTTTTTGGAAATAATTTAAAAAGAAAATTCAAAAACTGCCAAAAATAGAATGCAATAAATGCTGGTTGACTTTTCTTGTTATTATGTTTGGTAAATTGATTGGCTCTTTATATAAATATAGATGGTATACCTTTCGTTGTAAATGATTTCAACATAAATTCAAACAAAATTTTTTTATTTGAATGATTTTCCTTTACAATACAATATTAGTTGAAATTTAATGATTTCAATTGCCATTTTCCACAATTTAACACCTTCAATTTTTTTTCTTACACACATACTTCAACACTTGGAAGATATACAGCTGAAATTGTCAAAATCCAACAAAAAATTCAATAGGAAATTCTTTCAATGAAATATTTTTGTTAGAATCCATTAAAATATTAGCATTGTAATATCCATTGCAATTGTTGTTGTAATTTCATTAAATGTATTGAAAGATATATCGCTGAAATCGTCAAAATCTAACTAAAATTCCAATAGAAAATTCTTTCAATGAAATATTTTTGTTAGAATCCATTAGAATATTCCAACAGAATAATAGCATTGAAATACCCATTAGAATTGTTGTTGTAATTTCATTAGAAATTACAATATTAATCAAGTCTTAACGAGTCTTATTATAATCAAGCTCGAGTTCGGCTCATTTATCAATATTAACGAGGCGAAATCGTGTCTTAATGAGCCAAATCGAGCAGAAAATACATAAAAATTATTTTTTCGAGTCTTAACGAGTCTTATCGAGCCAAGCCGAGCTGTTAACTAAATGAGTTTTAAATAAGTTCGAGCTTAGCTCCTTTATCAAACAAGTCAAGCCGAACTGAGCTCATAAGCGACTGATGGGTCTACTCTCGGATCTGGAGTGAACCGGTGGTAAAGAACTCAGAGTTTGAATCGCCTTCGAACCGTTGCTAGACCGCGAGAATACCTGCAAAAACTCAACGCTGGATGTGTTTCCGGCGTAAAGCCTCCGACGCTCAAGTCAGTATGAGAGTGATGAAGTGAGGCTACGCAGCAGCTATCAGGGAGAGTGGAGAATGAATGAGAGTTGGGGTTTAGGATTACCTCACCTCCTTTATATAGGAGGAAACACTTACTTGGAGTACCCAAAATGCCCTGGCCGACTTGCATGAAATGTCCGGAATGCCCCGGTCGGTTCGTCTCTCCTTTGCTGCTGAGTCATCACAAGATTTCCTCTTATCTATTGAGGAATGTAGAGTCTCAAGTATGTTGCAAGTGAAATGAATCGTCATCACGTTTTTGGTCTCGAGTCATAAGAAGTCAACCTCGAGATCTGAGGTCGACTTGTAATCGCATGAAGCTTCGGAGACTACGCTTGGTTATTCTTGCGTGGGAGTCGACTTTTGAAGTCGACTGAAGGAAGTCGACCTCGAGGAGTCGACTTAGTAGGATTTCGCCCTTTTCTCGTAACTGTTTTGCCGAGGAGTCAACTGTTTGGAAGTCGCCTTAAGTATATATCGACAGGAGTATGTCGTCATGTGAACGGTCTGAGTATTTAGCCAGTCGAGTAGAGAGTCTTTGGGCTGGTTATCCTTATATGACTATATCAGCGACTTATTTAATTTAATAGCTCGAGAAGACCAATAGTAAACCCACTTCTATACACGAAACACACAAAAAACAGAAAAAACAAAGGGAAATAATCATAGCCGTTGTACAATGCTACATGCATAACGCGAGTTGTCTAATCATCATCAACCATATAACATATTCATGGCACTACACTACACACCAATACAATATGTCAAGTAGTGATCATATCAGTAATTTGTGAATCCACAAGCTCAACCACTACTCGCCAACAAAAAGAAACAGATAAATAAAACAACAAAGGTCAAAGAATTAAACGAGGCTATCTATACTATACATGTGTGTGTACAACTACTTGAGAGCACTACACATTAATTGTAACGAGTTATTTCAACCTTAAAAAGATGCGAAAGGCCCAAAACAACCGTACCGTACGTACTCTACTCCACTACACATCCTTGTTAAGTTAAATAAGTTCAACAAGGACTTGGCAATAGATAACAAACAGCACAAACTATCAAACTACAGACACATTATCAGACACTAAACCGCTCGACCCCCCCTTCGCCTTACTCGTGTTCGTGTACAGCCTCTTCAGATTCGACCTCTGCTCCTTCACCAATCTCCACAAACTCCTCTTCGCATTCGCCCTAAACGCCCCATCCGACTTCACGAACCCGTCCACCAGGTGCAGATACGACTCCAGGTCATGACAGCACGCCACGTCAGCATCCTCCCTCAAAAACGGCGACATCCTCGTCTCCACCCTCAGCTCCGTCCCCACGTGCGTGTACGCCCACGCCTTCCCCGGCACCCTCGTCACCACATCCCCCCCATTCGCCACCCTCAAAANCCCCTTCGACCCCACCCTCCCCGCAAAATCCCCGTCCCCCACTCGCGGCCCGCCGAACGAGTACACCGCCACCGGCGCCGCCAGACGGTTATTTTCTCCGGTGAGCTCGTCGGCCACGAGCAGCGCCAGCGCAGCACCGAGGCTGTGCCCCGTCACCGTCACGCTCAGCTCCTCGCCTCTGTACTTCTCCGTCAGCCTCCGGATTTCGTCCGCCACCGACTCTGCCAGGCTCGCCACGCGGTCCCCGCCACGTGTCCTGAACAAGCTTAGAAAACCCCGCCCGACTTTACCCGAAGACGCCACATCATCAACCGGTGCCAGCTGGCCTCGGAAATTCTCGGCCCACTCGAGACACGTGGCAGTGCCGCGTAGCGCGATGACGATGTCCCTCCGCCCCATCCGTTGGATCTCTCGCGGGTCGTCGCAGACCGCCACGAACCCGACCCGGCACGTGCGCTGAGTCATCCAACCCGGCGCCACGTCATCGGCCCACGACGGGAGGCCGACAGAGGCCGTCGCATATAGGCAACGGGTCACGCGGTACGACCTGTCGGGGAGCGCCACGTGGCGGCAGGGGGAGAGCTCATCGTCAGGGGATGACGTGGCGGGGTTGGAGTGGAAGCAGTGGTAGGCGGCTTGGACGAACTCGCCGTACCGGATGATTTCTCGGCGGAGATTCTCGTCGAGCGGGTCGAGCATGCCGGCCCAGTTGTTGAGGCCGTGGTACTCGCGCCACCTGGCGGCCAGGCTGTTGCGCGGGGAGTATTCGGAGGAGGAGTCGGAGAGGAGGCGCTGGAGACGGTTCAGGTAGCGGGGGGACATGTCCTCGGGGGACTTCCGAACCGGCCAGAGGCGGTTCAGGTTCAGGCGGGTTAGGAAAGAACCTCTCCGCCGGTTGGGTTTGCCTGGGTCCGGTTCGGGGTCGGTGGACCGGTTCTGTTTCTGGAGAAGCTTCTCGAGGTTGGAAAGATGCTTCCACGTGGTTTGGGAGGGCCGGTTCACAGGGTTGAGGGGAGAACCGGAGGACTGAAAACCGGCCTGACGGGTTAGGTGGGGATGAAGTTTGTGAGCCGGAAGGGTGGAGCCGATTGGCATGTTTTGGGGAGAATGGAAATTAAGAAAGTCAGAATTTAAGGTTGTTCAGAAATGGAGACTGAGGAAATGTGAAGAGTCGCTCGCTTCAATGAAGGAAACCGGAACGTTATAGAGAAGGCGCCCCAGATAATTGCCCTTGGAAGTTTGGTAAATTACATGTTGTGCCAGGCATGTTACTATGCTGACTCGTTAGTCAACATTTATTGGTAGCTTTATGCATTCTTTGTTTGTGATTTGTCATAAATGAACCTATACGCTCTTTTCACTCGTGCATGTCGATTTATTTAGGTAAATGAAGATCTTTGTATTTTCCGCACATGGCCAATTATCATTCTTGTGGATCTTTTATGTCTGATTTATTTAGATAAATGAAGATCTTTGTATTTTCCGCACATGGCCAATTATCACTGTTGTGGATCTTTTATGTCTGATTTATTTAGGTAAATGAAGATATTTTTATTTTTCTCACATATATAAAGTATAAATTAACCACCAACATAGACACTATGGGCTAAGTGTACAAATTTTCCCAGTGTCATACTATGATCTAGTTTGTCTAAGTATCTGGATATTTTCACATAATCACATGTTTTGGCCGATCAATTTAGATTATATGGTGCATGTTATGTAATTGATTGGTTTAGATTTTTGATACTCTAATATAAAAATATCAATAATGTTGCATAGGAAATAATAGGGGACTATAACTATTATTTTTAATTTATATGAGATTGATATATATAATGAAAATGTTATCTTCAAAACAATAGATAATGAATTCTCTTGAAAATAATATATAATTAAACAACATCATATGTTTCCATAAGGAGTGCGAATTCTAAAAATATTAAGTAATTTAATAAGAAATATATCAAAATATCCTTAAAGTGTACTATATGAAAAATAAACAAGCACTAATTTGATATCCTAGTCCTAGTATAGATATATTATTAATTTATTTATATGAAGTGATTCATATAAATCAATGAATATACAAATATTACACCATATAAATAAAAAATAATAATTTTGTATGTCTTCCAAAACTAATTGATCAGATTCATTGTGTAATAGCAACCTTTATACGTAAAAAAAAAAAAATATGGCTATAATATTTCACCGATACAGAAAAATTAAAGGCTCGAATCAATACATAAAGAGGTTAAAAATATAAAGTTATAATTTTCTAACATCATTTATATAATTGATGCTTAAAGATTTTGTATTTATCATCTTTTTTATGAAACTGATGCAGAGGGTACAAAAATAAGAGCATGTTTGTTTATAGAAATTTTTGATTTTGTTTGAATTTTTTGGTTTGATTTGGTTAATTTTAAAGAAAGTTGTATGATTAGTTGGTAGTGGGTATATTAAAATAATATTTAAAATAAAAAAAAAATTGTTGATGTAAAAGTAGGAGAGATGATTTGAAGTAATGGTTAGTTAAAATAATGTAAGTAGATGAATAGTGAATTAAAGTTGATGTGGTGTGTATGAATGATTAATTAATATTATTTAATTATATTGATAATATTGATGATAGTGAGGTTAAGTTAAAGTTGAGTTAAAAAAAAAAAAGTTAAGTTAAAATGTTGGAATTTTTTTGAAAATTTTTTAATAACTAGGTAAAATATTTTATAAGTCGGGCATCACTGTTAACTAGGTAAAATATTTTATTTTAGTTACCCACGTAATTTATAACTTTTATCGTGCAGTCCGGACAAAATTAACCACTCTACCAGTGAATTGACAGCATTTGTATCATTAGCACCTGTGAATATCCACATCGTATTTTAATTTATCTCCACCCAAATGGTAAATATTCCATCAATTATTTAATTCTCTCCTTACATCACAGTCACTTCTTTATGTGATATTTTTTTTATGCAAGAAAAAACAAAAGATGAAAATAAATTAAGAAAATAGGACAAGGGACATAATAATTTAAACTCGTATAGATTATGGCGTGCGAGCGCCATTCACTGCGCCAACACCATGGATACTGCGCGTTAACATGCACTCTTTTGGATATATATAGCGCTACCAACTCTTTTTTTTGTCTTCTTATATATTTTGAAGCAATTTATTCAATTATGTTTGTGGTATTGAAGATACACTACAATGTATTTAATATTCACTAAATTTTAATTACCCAAAATATTGATATTATTTCTTATGCAAAATATGGTTGTATTTATAATGTAAAAGTATTATACATCTCAAAATTTGAAATTTTGTATTCCGAGTTTCAGCCTTGAGGGCTTCAAATTTTTTTATTACAGAATTCCGATAAATGTTGTTGTGATGTTCACATAATAGTTCGTATAATTTTATTTCAATGCACACTAGATATGAATATATAATAAGACATAAATTCTTATGTGAAACGGTTTAATCGTTAAGTGGGTCCACACGTCGTACATTCTTTATAGAAATGCATACTTATGCTATGCTACAAAATGTCAATTGATTTTAATCAACTATATATATTTATTTACAGTGCTATGCCAAAGTCAATTGATTTTTTTTAATGATGTACTTACTACTTAATATTGTATTGAAATAGCATTGTGAAAAAAGAATTAGAGTTAGAATAGTTTATATTTGGGAATAATATTGAAGTTCAATTAATGAAATATTAAATTGGTAAAGCGTGGTAAAAGCGAGGGACACGGTTCATTAGACTGAAATGCCCCTACTCGGTGCTGCTTGGACTTCAATTCAAATGTCAGACGATCTACCATTTTTTATTAAAATTTTGCGTCAATTATCAACGGGGTATTCCACAATAATGGTGGTCTTGGGCAGCGACAACAAATTCCACACTTTTTTCTTTTTATTATTATTATGAAACTATAGATAAATTCAAATTCAAATTCAAATTCAAATTCGAATGTATTTTACAGTCGAAGACTACTTATAACTAACTTTACTCAACAAACTCTACATACGCTAACTAATTGTAGAGCAAATTATGCTATTTATTTTACTTGTAATCTAATCTCAACCTTTCAATTTTGATAATAAAAGGTTCGAGTTTTTGATTTTCCGCAAATTGAAGAACGCGATCAACAAACTGATTGTCGGTCCTTAAATCATTGCGTAAGTCCTTATCTCATTTACGACATGTTGATTCCTTAATTCTCTGCGACAAATGACAAGGCATAAATGTGAGCATGGTCGATTTCCTCCTGATCACGTGCTTAATTTCGCCAATATGAAAAGCTTATTGCCAAAACCCATAACTCAAAGGAACATTATTATGAGTGTATATGAGTGATGTATGCCGCCATTACATCACTATTCTAAGCCGTATGACAAAACTTTTGGACATTATTCATCAAATTAGAAAGTTGCTTGGACCTCAATTTGGCCGCCGCTCACTTTAATTTGGCAAAAAAGAGGAAGTTTAAAGGTAGGCTTTGAACAAGTTTCTTTATAGGAAGCCAGCAGATTGACTTGCACTGCTATTGAAACAGCCATTTGAACTTTGAAGCTCTAGTTAGTTAATATTTTCAACTATTGATATACATTAGCTACTACTTTTTCATCAATAAAGTTCGAACTTGCACCTTTTTTATTACTCAATTGTTATTCACCGCCCTCCTATTACTACTCACCGCCCCCTTTGGACAATTTTGCCCCTGACATTTTTTTCAAAAAGTAAAAAAAAAAAAAAAAA